ATAACCCAAAAAAATGGACAGGGGTGTAAACCATTACATGCTTTATCCAATGTAAAAAAAAAAAAAGTTTGGGATTCAGATATACTTTAACCCTTGTTTTTTTTTCTTTACTGTTTTCATAAGTTTTTTTTTTTGGGATAGAAAATACAGAAAATTCTAGGTAAAAGATAGACAATTCTAGGAACAAGATAGAACATTCTAGGTAAAAGATAGCCAATTCTAGGTAAAAGATAGAACATTCAAGGTAAAAGATAGAAAATTCTAGGTACAAGATAGACAATTCTAGGTACAAGATAGACAATTCTAGGAAAAAGATAGACAAATCTAGGTAAAACATAGACAATTCTAGGTAAAAGATAGACAATTCTAGGTAAAAGATAGACAATTCTAGGTAAAAGAGAAAATTCTAGGTAAAGATAGAAAATGCAAGGTAAAAGATACAAAATTCTAGGTGAAAGATAGACAATTCTAGGTAAAAGAGAAAATTCTAGGTACAAGATAGACAAGTCTAGGTAAAGGATTGAAAATTCTAGGTACAAGATAGACAATTCTAGGTAAAAGATAGACAATTCTAGGTAAAATATAGACAATTCTAGGTAAAAGATAGACATTTCTAGGTAAAAGATAGACATTTCTATTCTAGTACAATTCTAGGTACAAGATAGACAATTCTAGGTAAAAGATAGAACATTCTAGTAAAAGATAGACAATTCTAGGTAAAAGATAGACAATTCTCGGTACAAGATAGACAATTCTAGGTAAAAAATAGACAATTCTAGGTAAAAAAATAGACAATTCTAGGTAAAAGATAGACAATTCTAAATGATAAATCCAAGGACTTGAAGTTAAGGAAAATCTTCCCAATGGGGCACAGATAACCCAAAAAATGGACAGGGGTGTAAACCATTACATGCTTTATCCAATGTAAAAAAAAAAAAAAGTTTGGGATTCAGATATACTTTAACCCTTGTTTTTTTTTTCTTTACTGTTTTCATAAGTTTTTTTTTCTGGGATAGAAAATACAGAAAATTCTAGGTAAAAGATAGACAATTCTAGGAACAAGATAGAACATTCTAGGTAAAAGATAGCCAATTCTAGGTAAAAGATAGAACATTCAAGGTAAAAGATAGAAAATTCTAGGTACAAGATAGACAATTCTAGGTACAAGATAGAACATTCTAGGTAAAAGATAGACAATTCTAGGTACAAGATAGACAATTCTAGGAAAAAGATAGAAAATTCTAGGTAAAACATAGACAATTCTAGGTAAAACATAGACAATTCTAGGTAAAAGATAGACAATTCTAGGTAAAAGATAGACAATTCTAGGTAAAAGAGAAAATTCTAGGTAAAGATAGAAAATGCAAGGTAAAAGATACAAAATTCTAGGTGAAAGATAGACAATTCTAGGTCAAAGAGAAAATTCTAGGTACAAGATAGACAAGTCTAGGTAAAGGATTGAAAATTCTAGGTACAAGATAGACAATTCTAGGTAAAAGATAGACAATTCTAGGTACAAGATAGACAATTCTAGGTAAAGATAGATAGTAAAAATTCTCTAGGTACAAGATAGACAATTCTAGGTAAAAAATAGATAGAAATTCTAGGTAAAAGATAGACAATTCTAGGTAAAAGATAGACAATTCTCGGTACAAGATAGACAATTCTAGGTAAAAAATAGACAATTCTAGGTAAAAGATAGACAATTCTAGGTAAAAAATAGACAATTCTAGGTAAAAGATAGACAATTCTAAATGATAAATCCACTAGGGTGGACATACTGTAGATTGCTCTTTAACCAGGCAAAGTCACCAAACTAGCTTAAAAAAGCAGTCACATGATCAAGAGCAAGGTCAAAGTTCCTGGGTAAATAATGGGTTCCAAACCTGTATAAATGAATGTAACTTGCCCTTAAGTGTCAGAGATAACTTTTTATTCAAGGGTACCCTGCCATGTTATTCTTCACTTGTGTTAATAAAGAGGCGGAGGACCACCAAGCATTGGTTAGCACTTCTTTCACCACCATAAAAAGAAAAGTAGCCCCTTCCCTGATAGGTGCTCGGTCAGGTACATTTAATTATTAGCTTCGCTGTAATCAGTTGAGCTGCTTTTGAATACTTTGGGCTGTTCTGTGTCTCACTGGTTGCAGGATTGACTGCTTCCCCCTTCCTTTTGGACGGTTCTGGATGGTATTGGGCTGGAAGAGTCAAATCAGCAGCTGAATATTTATGCAATCCCAGCCAATCCCTGGGGAAGAGTGCCCAGATAGTGGCTGGGAGGGAGCATAAATAGTTTGGGGCCTGGAACAGAGGTGTTCTTGTCCAGGAGGAGGAGATCCCAGCCTGAAGGGCTTTTGCCCTTCTGGGCAGTCCAGCTGTGTTTTCAACTGTTCACTGAGGTCCTAACTTTGCTAGCTGGGGGGGAGGGGCGATTCTACTGAACTCTACTAGAGCTGTCAGATGGACTTTTTGAGGTGGGATCTGGTTTGGAGAAATCACAGGAGAGGTGTCTGGAAGATATTAAAAAGAGGCGTCCAATTATCCAAGGCCATTAGTGAGTACAAACCAGTAGTGATGGGTCGAACACCCCAATGTTCGGTTTGCGGTCAAACATTTAAACATAATGAAAGTTCGACCAGTAACATCGAACAGAGGGGACAATTCACTAAGTGGTATTTTACCCCATCTGAGTATATGGTAAGATACCGCACAGCTACTAAAAACATTTATTGTTTCAGCTGTCCCCACTGACAGCTGAATGTGAAAGGAATTGCCAGCATTGCAATATACATTTAAAATAAAAAAAAAAAAAAACCTCATGCCCCCCCCCCCCCCTTTGGGTCTGGTATGGATTTTGAGGGGAAGCCCCCATGCCAATTTTTTTTTAAATGTTGTGGGGGTCCTCATCAAAATCCATACCCTCTTATATGAGCATGCAGCCCGGCAGATCAGGAAAGGAGAAGGGACAAGCGGGCCCACCTCCTGAACCATACCAGGCCACAAGCCCTCAACATGGGGGGGTGCTTTGGAGCAGGGGGCTCCCCCCCAAAGTACCTTGTCCTCATGTTGATGAGGACAAGAGCCTCTTCCCCTCAACCGTGGCCAGTGGATGTGGGGGCCTGCGGACGGTGGGCTCATCTGAATCTGTAAGCCCCTTTAACAAGGGGGCCCACAGATCATAGACACTCCCCCTACGTGAATGAGGTACATGGTATCACTACCCAAGAGACAATCTTTGACAGGTCCTTTATTAAAAACAAAAATTTAAAAAATGTCCCCCGAAGTAGATCCAAGGTCAATCACGATGCCTGCTGCCACTGCCGACCCCCCCCCCCCCAAAAAAAAAAAACCACTCCGCTCTCGACACTGGCTCCTGGCCGTCTGACGGCTGCACTGGGAAGACAGTTCTTAAATACTGTGATGATGTTGCAAGGGGGCGGAGTTACACCTGCCCCCTTGTGATGTCATCATGCGCTATGGTTTGCCGAAGCAGGTGCATTGCTTTGGCCAATCACAGTGTACTGTCAGTGCATTGTGGGGCACGGTGGGCAGGCAGCCCGCCGAACGCCCTTGCCCTTTGTGTGTTCGTCGCGCATGCGTACTAACGTTCAACTCGAACATACAGAATCTTTAGGAAGAAGATAGATGTCCTGGAGTTATCCTGGAGCAGGGGCGAGCTGACCATTTGGAAACTCGGCCCCATGAGATGCCCCTGGTACCTTTTTCATAGGCTTTTTTGAGTTTGGGCAAGGACACAGGGGCCCCATGATTCCCTATTGCCCGGGGGCCCCATGAGTTGTCAGTCCGCCCCTGATTATAAGGTTTTGTACTTATATTTACTTAGCGCCACTTTTACCACTATATTTACAGTGAAGGAAATGCGTATTTGATCCCCTGCTGATTTTGAATGTTTGCCCACAAATCGAATGTTCGGTGTATTGTAACACTGAGAGACAGAATAGCAACAAAAAATTCAGCAGAAATGCGTCTAACAAATGATGACTGATCTGCATGTTCATGAGCAAAATAAGTATTTGATCCCCTATCAATCAGCAGGATTTCTGGCTACCAGGTGTTTTCATACAGGTAACAAGCGGAGATTAGAAGCAGTCTTTTAAAGGGAGTGCTGCTAATCTCATTGTGTTACCTGTATAAGACACCTGTCCACAGGAGCAATCAAACAATCAGATTCCAAAACTCCATCATGGCAAAGGCCAAAGAGCTGTCCAAGGATGTCAGGGACAAGATTGTAGACCTACACATGGCTGGACTTTCCCAATGGCTGCACCCAGGGCTGCTGCTCCTCCTGCCCACCCCTTGTAAAGGCCCTGGTGAGGAATAAGGGAGGTCTCTACATTTCTTCTGGGACATCTTCAAAACATCCAATGCTGCACCCAGGGCTGCTGTGCCCCCCCCCAGGGACAAGATTGTAGATTGTCAGGGACAAGATTGTAGACCTACACAACAAGGCTGGACTGGGCTACCAAACTATCGCCAAGCAGCTTGGTGAGAAGGTGACAAGAGTTGGCGCAATCATTCGCAAATGGAAGAAACACAAAACAAGTGTCAGTCTCCCTAGGTCTGGTGCACCATGCAAGATCTCACCTCGTGGAGTGTCAGTGGTCATGAGAACAATGAGGAATCATCCCAGAACTACACGTGAGGATCAGCAGAGGTCAAATACTTATTTCCTTCACTGTAATTAGAAGATTCATTTTCATGGACTTTTTGGATTACTTTTAGAGATGAGCGAAGTATTCAAAAATTCGATTCGACTGATTCGGCAAATTCGTGGAAAATATTCGATTCGAGTCGAATATATTCGCTGTGAATTTAACTTAAAAAAGGGTGTTTCTAGGCTTCAGAGAGACTTAAAATTAGTGCAGAACACTGTACCTTTAATTTAAATGCCCTTGGAGTCTGCTGGGGAAGAGAAATAATACTGTCAGTCAGTATGACATGCAGATGAGTGCCGTCGATCTTAGAATCACCGCACACTTCACTCATTTGGCCAGTCACGGGGCCAAAACCAGTGTTTGGAGCCACAGTGTGGCAGTGGAGGCAGCAGCAATGGGAGGCCATACAGCAACCTATGACAAAATGGAAACCAGCAGGAGTGTGAGGAGACCTGAAAGTGGCACATGGCAGAGTGGGAGCAATGGGAGCGGTACAGGGACCCAGGTCACACTGTGGGCTCAGCAGCAGCGTGACCAGGCGGTACGGGGGCCCATGGCAGATTTGGGGGCCCTGCAGCACCTATGGGAGGCCTGTAATCTGCCAGCAACCTATGACAAAATGGAAAACCGCAGGAGTGTGAGGAGACCTCAAAGTGGCACATGGCAGAGTGGGAGCAATGGGAGGCGGTACAGGGACCCAGGTCACACTGTGGGCTCAGCAGCAGCGTGACCAGGCGGTACGGGGGCCCATGGCCGATTTTGGGCCTGGCAGCACCTATGGGAGGCCTGTAATCTGCCAGCAACCTATGACAAAATGGAAAACCGCAGGAGTGTGAGGAGACCTCAAAGTGGCACATGGCAGAGTGGGAGCAATGGGAGGCGGTACAGGGACCCAGGTCACACTGTGGGCTCAGCAGCAGCGTGACCAGGCGGTACGGGGGCCCATGGCCGATTTGGGGCCTGGCGGCACCTATGGGAGGCCTGTAATCTGCCAGCAACCTATGACAAAATGGAAAACCGCAGGAGTGTGAGGAGACCTCAAAGTGGCACATGGCAGAGTGGGAGCAATGGGAGGCGGTACAGGGACCCAGGTCACACTGTGGCTCAGCAGCAGCGTGACCAGGCAGTACGGGGGCCCATGGCCGATTTGGGCCTGGCGGCACCTATGGGAGGCCTGTAATCTGCCAGCAACCTATGACAAAATGGAAAACCGCAGGAGTGTGAGGAGACCTCAAAAGTGGCACATGGCAGAGTTGGGAGCAATGGGAGGCGGTACAGGGACCCCAGGTCACACTGTGGGACCAGCAGCAGCGGTGACCAGGCGGTACGGGGGCCCATGGCCGATTTGGGGCCTGGCGGCACCTATGGGAGGCCTGTAATCTGCCAGCAACCTATGACAAAATGGAAAACCGCAGGAGTGTGAGGAGACCTCAAAGTGGCACATGGCAGAGTGGGAGCAATGGGAGGCGGTACAGGGACCCAGGTCACACTGTGGGCTCAGCAGCAGCGTGACCAGGCAGGTACGGGGGCCCATGGCCGATTTGGGGCCTGGCGGCAAGGGAGCCCCTACAGGACCCAGGGCACACTGGGGGACAGCAGCTTTGGGCCAGGGGTACGGGGGCCCATGGCCGATTTGGGGGGTGGCGCACCATGGAAAGGCCTGTAACTGCCAAATATGACAAATGGAAAAACCCGGGTGTGAGGAGACCTCAAAGTGGCACATGGGAGAGTGGAAACAATGGGAGGGGTACAGGACCCGGTCACATGGGGCCGCAAAAAGGGCCCGGGGTCGGGGGCCCCTGGCCCATTTGGGGGGGCCCGGCACCTTTTAGGCCCTAATCTGCAGCAACCTATGACAAAATGGAAAACCCCCAGGGTGTGAGGAGATAAAGTGGGCCCTCGAGTGGAAAAATGGGAGGCCCTACAGGGGGCCCCGGGCACACTGGGGACCGCCAGCGTGAAGGGGTACGGGGGCCCAGGCGATAGGGGCCTGGCCCCCAAT